GCTCGTTGCTGTTAACTTGTCTATGAGATGACTCTGTTTTGGTCACTCCAGCTGTTTTTCGCTTTCCTCCCTCGGTTGGCGTTCCTCCAGGGTTTTTGATATTTTATCCCTTCATAGTCCTTAGCCTTTGTGTTGTTGACGAATTGATACTCTTCCTCCTTTTCCTCTATCTGTAACTTACCATTTCTGGCCCTTGTGGATCTGGGGACTGGTCAGTCTCTTAGATTTGCTCCTTCCTTCTTGTGTTTGGGAGGTTTCGACTTTCCTATGGGGCGGGTGTTTGCATACTCCCCTTAAGATTTTGGTCGGGAATGTCCTGTGGGGGATATTAGCTCCCTTTCTTTGTAGGTTGTGATTTATTATTATGGTGGGTCGAGATTTTATCTTGATTTTTGGGGTCTGGAGTTTCTGTGTACTGCTGTCGGACCTAGCTTTGATATTTTATGCGCTCCCTTCGAGTGGGTTTCCTTGGAGAAGTCTCACTGAACCGCAGCCGGTCCCTTTGGCTTTTGGTCGGGGAGGTTTTGTTAGTCGTTATCTTTCTTTCAGGAGGGGGCCAGTTGGGGCTGGAAATGGCTCTGCGCAGTTGTTGCAGTGCGGAATCTTTCTTTTGATGACTTTTTGATTGGGAGGCAGATGTTTTGTTGCTTGTTCCAAGAATAGCCACTTTCACTGGGACAATTAAGACAAATTCATCTGGGTGGATATTTCGTTTATATTAGCAGTGAGACTTTTTTTAATAGGATACTCTTCGTAATCTCTCTTGAGATTTGAGATATTTCATCTCTTACCCTACTTGTTCATGGTTGTCCGTCTTGTTGGGAGGTGTCCAGGAACTTATGGTGTTTCTGGATCTGTCTTGATCCTTACAGATCTATAATAGAGGGATTTGGCTTCTTTCCGAGAATTAATTTAATCGCTAACTTGACTCACATCTTTTTCTTATAATGGTCTTGGTTTGGTTCCTTACTATTTGAATCTTCCTTTTGGTTTGTGGTCAGTCCTGACAAATCCGTCAGAGATATAGGATATGACTCTCAGCCTTTATTGCCTGGTGTAGTTGCCTGGGTGGCTTGAGATTCTAGTATTAATACTCAGCTTGGATGCCTATTTGTTATGATCCTTGCTTCCTTCCTGATGGCGATTGGAACGCTGATAATGCAGTTAGATGTGCGCGAGTCGGAAGGGACCATCCCTTGGGGAACTATGCAAATTTAGGCTGGTATTGACTGCCTTTGGTAGGTTCTATTTGGCTTATATATTAATTCTCCCATTAGTTTTGCTTTTCTTATTTAAATTAAACAATTTCCTCATTTTTCCATATATCGTATATGACAGATCAATATTGCTTCAGGTTTGTCCTGTTATTAACATACGGCGTCGCTTGGTTATCTGTTACCGTCGATTTTGCTTTAATAGAGCTGTTAAGAAATTTGCTAATTTCCGGTTATTATGAGATCTACTGGAAGAATTTATATATACGACTTCTTATATAGGGGAGCCTATTACTTGGGGATACAGAGAATTAAAGACTAAATATTTGTCTCATATGTCCCTTTCTAATCTATAAGGGTTCTTGTAGGAATTGAGTTGCCCTAGATTTTTTGTTGATTTCATAATCATTCCACAATTATTATTTTAGTAACCTAATTACATGATTCTGGCCTGGGTATGTCTTGGTGTATCTCTAGGCACTCTTGGAAATCTAATCCAGATCATGAAAGAATACTAAGCAATTCTTCTGTCTAATCTATTAACTTTAGAACTCTACTAATTATTAATGTACATTCATATCATATAATACTTATGGGGTGGTAGAAACATTAATCTGCTGGGATTCCGGTTATAGAATTTCCTCCTTTTTCTTCTTCTAATATTCTTAATCCTGTGATCATATATTTGTGTTGTCATAATATGAGGGATATGCCATTATATGGTCTGATAAACAACTAATTAGACCTTTTATAATGATTCCATTATCTAATACGGTGGGCATCATATGAAATATATCACGAGATTCCTATTTCTGGGACTAGAAAACGACGTATAATTGTAGATGTTCCTTCTTTTCATTTTTGGGGCTTAAATATTAGCCGAACGAGAGAAAGGAATAAAAAAATAATGGGAATAAATCCAATCATTCACTATGGCGTTAAAAGGTTCCTGGATTTCTGTTATATTACCCTGTTCTTGTTAATCAATCCTAAAGAATAAGGGTGCCCGTAGGTAATATACTCTCGTGCTGAAGTTTCAAAGTTAAAATGACAGAACAAGATGGGAAGCTGAGATGAAATAGGAAATGAACCCTGTCTTAATACGTGTAAAAAATAAATAAAAAAATCCTATCCCCTCGTAACATGCCCAGAATTATCTTTTAGCTTAATCCATAGATATGTTATTCCTTAAGGAGATGATATATTTCTTAGGACTATTACTTTAGTGATAGAGAAGAATATTCCTATCACATTAATTACACTTTGGAGGGATTATTCTTGGGAGACAGTGACGGAATCATAAGGATTTGTAGTGATCAATTTTTTTTCTTTATAGTAATTTTGATAAAGTGAGATGGGGAAAAT